TCCAGGATGTTTCAGACATCTGAACCAAATAAAGTTGGGTTTCTGTCACTTGTAAGAAGAATCCTAAGCAATACACCTACTAAGGGCCAGATACCATGATGGGCAGTGGGCTTGTAAGGTGTGAGCCCAATCCTAAAAGAGATCGTTTTCTATCTTTTTATTGCTAACCACAGCTCTATTGAACCATAATTTATATACCATAACATTCATTCTTTTAAAGTACATGAATCTACTGTTTTTAGAATATTTACAGAATTTTTTGATATATTTTATTGATTTTTTACAGAGAGGAAGGGAGAGGGATAGAGTTAGAAACATTGATGAGAGAGAAACATCGATCAGCTGCCTCTTGCACACCCCCTACTGAGAATGTGCCCGCAACCAAGGTACATGCCCTTGACCGGAATCAAACCTGGGACCTTTCAGTTCGCAGGCTGACGCTCTATCCACTGAGCCAAACCGGTTTCGGCTATATTTACAGAATTTTGCAACCATCACCATGATCACTATCTTGCATTGAAAATGAGAAATATACCGTATCCTTACTCTTCTCCCCTACACATCAGCTCCCCTCTTGAGCCCAGGGCTGGGTTTTACTCCTTTCTGCATGAACAGCAAGTGCAGTAGGTACTCAATTAATGTCTGTTAAGCTCTATTCAGACCTCCTTGAAAAACTTGGCCTCCATCAGTTGTTTGAGTCCTTTCTACAGCACAATGAATGAGAGAATAGGTAGTTAGCAAAGCCACTCAAGGAATGGGACGTGATCACCAACCACTAGGTTTTCTTCTGTTTTCTAAGTCTATCCGTGCATCAGGGTAGACTTCCGGAGAGCTGTACATCTGGAATGTGCTCCTTTGGCTCCTAAACTTTTCCTAAGTTTATTACAGAATAATTTAAAATAGTAACCACTGGAAAAACATAAATCCAATAAGAAGGGAATGATTTAATACTGATGCACCCAAAAGATAGAATAGTTAACAGCAACTAAAAATCATTTTTAAAAAGATGATTTGAGCTGAAACCAGTTTGGTTCAGTGGATAGAGCATCGGCCTTCAGACTGAAATGTTCCGGGTTCGATTCCTGTCAAGGACATGTACCTTGGTTGCGGGTGCATCCCCAGTGGGGGGTGTGCAGGAGGAAACTGATTGATGTTTCTCTCATCGATGTTTCTAACTCTCTATCACTCTCTCTTTCTCTCTATAAAAAAATCAATAAAATATATATATATTTTTAAAAGATGATTTGAGGATATGGAGAAATACCCATGATATAATGTTAACTCAATGAAATAAAATATGAAAGGGCACAAGGTATATAAATTAGTAAATACTGGCCACTGGGAGAAAATAATGCTAATTACTTTCTGTAGGTGAATTATGGGAAATTATTTTTTATGCTTCTCTTTAATTTTCCATTTTCTAAAATGAACATTAATCAAATCAGAAAAGATAGTTTTTTCTTGGCTAGTTATTTCATTAATGTGACTACCAAAGAGTAAGAAACAACCACATGAAGAACATTTCTGAGACTCCTATAAAACTTTAAAAAAAAAAGTCATTGTCCCTCAGAATCTTTTAATCCAACATGTAAGAAATATAATCCAGCATGTTTACCTTTTTACTTTGACTGCCAGCAAGCTCAGAGGTAAAATTTAATACTCAAAAATGCAATAAGCATGCTAGCCCAGATTTCTTGGTACAGCAATTTTAATGCTTCTAAAGGGCTTCTGATGCTTTCTTTTACCTTTATTTTCAGTTGTCCAGTTTATGTCTTTAGATATTCAACTCTTTCTTAGAATACATTCAGAAATATTTGCTAAAGTGATTTGAGTAGCCTATAAAAAGGAAGTCCTGACTAGCAGATTCTCTGTTGGGCTGTTTCATTTTTACAAACACGTGTCACTGAATGGGGCTTTAAATGTTCTGTTACTATTCTAATTACAGTAGAGGATCAACCCTGGATAAATGCATATATTGACACAAGCTGACCCAATGATCAGATTAACCCATTCCTTGCTAAATCTTTATCTCTTTGAATGCTGTGTGAACAAAGGTCCATCCTGGCTGCCCACAGTCTCTGGCCATTGACTGACAGCAAATGTGAGCAAAGCCAGCCAAAATCAGCTCTCTGCATCCATCTCGTGTTCAAATCTACAGACAAAAAGTGACATAGCCAGCAAATGATTAGGAAGTAAACACAACCCACAAAGACAGCCCATCTGAATAAAACAGGTCCCAAACACTCTTCAGATGACTATAGGTTTTGCTGCAATTACCCAGACCAATCCTTCTTTTACTTCAACTCAGACAGAAAGTACCTCCACTTTACAGATGGGCCACTTTAAAAAAAAAAAATTAGGTATTATATCACCTGGGCATTCTATTCTCCCTAATGTGACACTTCATGGCAGGAGATAACATAATTATTTGATGATAAGCCAGAATTCTTTTTTTTCTGGTGATAACTTCACTGAGTCTTCATGAGATTTCAAAAGCAAGAAAACAAAATAGGCAGTCTTAATCTTCCTGTTGTGACCATTTTATCAAACCTAATGTCTCCACATCTTACTTGTGAATTCATGTCAGAGGAAAACAAGAGAAGGGAGGCAGGAAACATTTATTTAGTGTTTACAGCATGTCAGACAGAGCACTGGCTGTTGAGTCCACCAGCTCAAGATATTTCCACTCTGGCCTGCTTTCACCCTGAAGCGACACATCACAACCCTGCAGAATAGTCTCACATAGAATAGTCTCACTTTCTCATACGAAGAAATCTAGGCTTAGGGAGAGTAAATGCCTTGCTCAAAGTCACTCAGGGGTAAG